TTTTTTTTTCTTTTCATATTTTTAGTTAGAGAGATGGTTTCCGCCATTCTAGCAGGCTGGTCAACTCCTGACCTCGGGTGATCCGGCCTCCCGAAGTGGTGGATTACAGGTGTGAGCCACGGAACCGGCCAGAGAAACACCTACATTCTTGATAATCTGTCCAGTAACGAAGACAGGTACCAATTTACTACTAGCTCTTAATGCTTCTCAACCTTGAAACCTTTCTTAACAGCTACAACCAGAACTCAGGATAAATTCAGGTGTGCTACCACCGTATTTCAGAATCTACCTTTTATAGCATACATTTGTATCTCTTTCCTATCCATATTATCCACTCCAGGCAAACTGTATTGGCCATTTTCTATAGATGTTTCTTTCATTTCTGTAATGACCTCTCCCTACTTCCATTTCTACCTAAGAAAATCATACTCATCCCTCAGTAACCTTAACAAAACCCCATGTACTGCAGGAATCCCTTCCCAAAGTTGCAAACTGAAGGATCTCCTTCCTGTGAAATCAGCAAACTTTATGCAGTCAGGCTGTGCGTTCCCCAGAGCCTTGTAACTGTTTCTTAGCACGTAGCACACTGTGCTCCAATTTGCCGGCAAAGTTGTATAAAACGCAAACAAGTATTTTGAAGATGAAAGTGTATAAGAAATTTCAAATTAAAAAAATCTCAATGTCATCACGGGTATATAAACCTGTGCATTTCTTGTCCTTCAAAAAGAAAAATACCTTTTGTCTATTTTCTCGTCTCTCAGTGTGACATGGTTAAGAGCCCCATAAACGTGCATACCTCAACCGGACCTCGGCTTTCTGTTGAATCTGCTCTCTGTAACCGAAACGTGACAGGCAAGCAATCCAAACCCACGCTATCTTGGCCCCTGCCAGTTGTAATAAGTAATTAAGGACTGTAATTTCCACCCTACCCAGACAATGTGTAAACAAATGCTTATCTTGACTTCTGTGAACCACTTAAGTAACAATCAGAATGTCAAAAGTCCCCTGGCCCTAGCTCGCTTCGCTACAACGTTACCTGGAAAAGATACACAATCTAAAAAAAAAAAGCGTTTAAATGCAGCTCATCAAAAAAGTTTTTCTACATAAACAGGAAAAGTCGACCTAAAATTTTGTTCCTCTGTCCTCGTGTTGTATAATTTGTACTGTATTGTGTATTGGAGGTGTTGTAACTTTTTTCATAACAAATTCCTTTTATATTTTTCAGATCCTTGAGGAAGCAATGATGGTTGCAAAATAACCCCATCGAGGGTACCCGAACAGCGATGTAATGAGTTCACTTAAGAGACAATAAAATTTCCTGACATTTATGTGTCCTAGTGAGGCTAGGTATCAGAAGTGCCACCTGCCCAGACGGTGGCTAAGGAAGCTTCGAAAGGCAGAGAGTTTGGGGCACGATGAGAGAATAAATGATCCTGGCGCCCGGACTGATGCCTGCGGCAGGTCAGCTAAAATAGTGTAAAAGTGCAGCCAGCCATGGGGGCTGTGAGAGGAAGGTCGAAAGGTGGCGCTACTGCAGGCGTCTGGAACGTAAGCGCGGAAATGAGCTACAAAAGCAACGGCCGCCGCGGGGAGGGAGCACATCCCTTAGCGGGTTCACTCTGCCGCGCCAGAGGCTGGGCTGCCACCGCCGCCCTTTTCCCCATTCCCGCCTTAATGAGCGTAACAAAATTTTTTTGCAGATACCGCCTTCAATATGGCAACTCCGCCTCCCGACAACACCCTCCATACTCCCCAACAGCAGGCGCCTAGCATCCGCCATCTTGCCCCCCTACCTCCTCCCCTTTGCGGACATTTACATAGCGAAAATAGGCCCAACAGGCCTTCGGCCTTCACCTCACGCCTGCAGCCTTCGCCTCCTTGCCAGGCCTCACCCCGGCGCGGTGCCCCGGGTCAGCCGCGGCGCCGACTTGGGGCCCCTCGGTCGCCTCCGGGACAACCGGGCGACCCTCCCCCAACCCCCGCCCGCTTACGGAGCGCGCCTCCGCCGCCGCTCAGGGCAGCCGGGCTCCTCCCCGGGCCTAACTGCGGCCTCCTCGGGGCCTGCTCGGCGCCGCGCGCCACGCCGCCCGGCCTAGCGCGCGAGGGCGCCTTGCGGGCCGCCGACCAGGCCGAGACCAGGCCGCTGTGCGCGCACTAGGCCCCGCGGCCGCGGCGGGACCCGGGACTCACCGGACAGGCGTGCGGGCGGCCGGCGACGGTGGCGGGTGCTGCAAGCAGGCCTTTCTTTGGAGTACTGGGCCGGGCTCCGGTTGGTGGGGCGGGCGGAGGGAGGGAGGAGGGGCCGAGCTCGGAGCTGACAAAAAGCGGCCCAGCTCCCCGGCACCGGCCCGCCGTCAGCACGTCACGTCACCGCCTGGGAGAGAGACCCAGGAAAATGCGGGATGTTAGCTGGGTCCCTCTATCCCGTGGGCCTCTCGACGTCCCGTGTCGGCGCCAGCTACCCCTCGAGACCGGGCACTCCAGTGACCTCACTGCGGCGGGGTCTCCAGCAGCCAGAGTTGCCGTCACAACGTTATTTTCCTCCGCGCACCCTCCCTCCGTAACTGCTGCTCGCGCGCCACCGCCTCAGTCGCTGGCGTACAAGCAAGCGGCCCCGCACGGAGCTGGGCCTCCCACTACCGTCTCCGGTGGACCTGAAATTCATAATCTCCCACACCCTGCCGCAGGCCTTCCTGGACCCGTCGCGTCTCGGCGCCCCTCCTAGCTAAGGCGACAGATCTTGTTTCCAGGCCCTGAGGCTCCCTGCGCGCCGTAAATGTATTTTCTTTATTCCCGGGGTTGAGGACGAAAACAGAGTATCCCTCGCCGTCCCTTCCGTTCCCTTAAAAAAAAAAATTTTTTTTTTTTTGAAAAAGAATAAAACGAAAATGGATTTGCCAGTTTCTGTGCAGGCAAGAGGACAGGAGGACTATTCTATATCAATTACCGAGCTATTTTTTTTTAAGTTAGCCTAGGTATTTTCACCAAAATTTGAAATGTCTAGTATATATTCTGTATTACAGTGCTTTATGTTTTGGCGTACTTGAAATGTCAATTTTCTGTTATTGTCCCATAACAATAAATTATGCATATTGTTCCATCTGAAGTAACAACTGGTTTTGGGATTGCTTTCTAACAAAATCCTTCATGCTCTAAACTTTTAAAAGGCTTTGGAAACTGAGGAACGGGCATTTGATTAAACAGATGTTACTGATGAACTCCAAAAACGTGTATAGTGCATTTTCATTACTTTACGTTTTTATGCGCTCTAACTTTCCAGTAAACTTGGAACCCAAACTATGCCTAAAAGTTGCTGGTAAAAAGTTAAATAGTCCTATCGCTGTGGCTCACTTCTGAGCTCTTTGCAGGGCCAGGCTAGAGTATCTTGACGCCAGGAGACAGACTTAACAGCTGCGATCAACCCACTCCATTGCAGCTTGCGCGCCAGAATCAGTAATTTCTAATCTAGAGGCCAAGTAATTCAGTTTTCTACTCTACCTATTTTAAAAACATAGAATTCATCTTTTCCTTAACTGAGACATCTAAAAATCGCAAAATGCTTTAGGAAAAGAAAACCAGTGGTATACTGGAATAATGAGGTAAATGCTGCATAGTAAACTGGAATAATGAGAGAAATGCTGCATAGTAATTTCTTTTCAAACCATTGCTTTGATCTTTTTTCTCAGTAGTTAGATTTACTTTCAAAAATAAATGAGAGCTAGGTGAGGCGGCTCACCCCTGTAATCCCAAAACACGTTGGAAGGCTGAGATTAGATGAACTTGTGCTCAGCTGAAAGTTGGAGACAAGCCTGGAAAACAGGGAGATTCTATTTGTAGAGAAGCTTGAAAAATTAGCTGGATGTGGTGGTGCATACCTTTATTCTAAACTATGGGGAGGCTTAAGCCCATTAGTTTGGACTATGATTGTGACACCACACTCCAGCTTTTACGACAGAGCAAGATCCTGTTTAATAATAATAAGAAAAAAATAGTGTTGTTTTAAGACATTTTCGTCAAGTTTTGACAGAATGTATTTTTTGGAAAGAAAACATTTTTATAGCCGGGCGCGGTGGCTCACGCCTGTAATCCCAGCACTTTGGGAGGCCGAGGCGGGTGGATCATGAGGTCAAGAGATCGAGACCATCCTGGTCAACATGGTGAAACCCCATCTCTACTAAAAATACAAAAAATTAGCTGGGCATGGTGGCGCGTGCCTGTAATCCCAGCTACTTAGGAGGCTGAGGCAGGAGAATTGCCTGAACCCGGGAGGCGGAGGTTGCGGTGAGCCGAGATCGCGCCATTGCACTCCAGCCTGGGTGACAAGAGCAAAACTCTGTCTCAAAAAAAAAAAAGAAAGAAAAAGAAAAATAAAACATTTTTACAATATGTTTTTCAGTAAATACCTAGTTTAATATGTAATTAACATAATTTCCAAATACTGATAAGATGTTCAAGTTTTTAGAGATAGTGCCTGGCTCTGCCACACAGGCTGGAGTGCAGTGGCACGTTTGTAGCTCACTCAGCCTTGAACTCCCCAGCTCATTCTAACAGCCATGACCTCCCAAAACACTGTGATTACAGCTCTAAAATATTTTCCAAAGGCCTTCATTTAATGTTATGATATGTCAAGAATGGGATCTCATGTTATCCATTCAAACAAAAAACAATAAATGTTATTGTTAATATTTCTATGATTATCAAAAATCCTAGTGTTATGAAAAAGTACTAATATAAAAAGCACTTCAGAAAGAACAGCTAAGGAATATAGAGGAAAAATGTTTCCTAATCTAACAGATCATAAGTAGTTTAGATAATGAGACTTTTTAAACAGGTTTTGACATTATTTTTCATACATAATGTTAACTTTTCTAAAAGGCAAGGAAAGGATGGTCTACTTGTAGTTGTTAAATTAGAAAAGTCTTTATTACAGTCCAATAAAGATTATAAAATGCACAGATAAAGTCAACTATATTACATCTTTTTATTTTCTCAAAGAAACACAACAAAGGAAAACTTTGTATTGGTACCATGATAACAGAACAAAAGCATATTGTATCAATACAAAATAACTGATGGCAAAGCAAATAAACATGTACTGCTGCTAAAATGTTTCTTTTGTTCACATTGCTAATGTATTGCAGCTTTCAAAGTAACCAACCAGCTCACAAATACCAAAGTTTTAATAAAATAGCTGTAATTGCTTAAGCAAGAGACAGTACAAGGTCTCCACGTATTTTTTTCAAAAGAAGATGAAGCAGCAAAGAAAAGAAAGAAATTACTAACAAGGAATTTACAAAAGACATTATACTAGTTTTTGAGAAAATAGAGACACTTTAATATTACTGAATTCATTCATATACCAAAATTTAAATGGCGTGGTATCTAAAATGTCTCAAAAAGTTTTATGGAACTAAGTGTATGTGGTTGGTAGGGCAGCCCTAAGAAAATACCACATACTGAGTGGTTTAACCAACAAAATTCATCTTACCGAAATTTCAGAAACCCCAAGTCCAAGATCAAAGTATTGACAGGTTTGATTTAATCTAAGGCCTTTTTACTTGGCTTTTAAAGTGATGGCAGCCTTATCACTATGTTAACCTGATCTTTGCTCTGTGTTATGTCTGACTTTCTTGTAAGGACCATAGTCATATTGGATTAGAGATCACCCATATGATCTCATTTTATCTTAATTATCTTTCTGCAAATACAGGCACAGAAGTATTTGGAGTTATAACTTGGGGAAGGACACATTTCAGCCTAGAATACTCTATCCTCTGGTCACTCAAAATGTGTCTTATTTCTCACATGCAAAAGGCGTTATTCCGTAATTCCATTCTCACATTCCCAAAAGTCTTAACTCATTCCCACACCAACTCAAAGTCCAAAATTTCATCTAATATTTATCTACATCAGTTATTATTGAGGCACAATTCTATATTTTAAAAACCAAGAAATCATGTCCTGGAGAGAACATTAAGTGTATGGCCAATAATTTGCTAAAGCCATTAAAGGTATGGCTGACCAATAATTTACCAAGAGTGGGTATCTGACATGTGGATTTAATCATTCCTCTTAGTGGAAACTATGCCAACTTGGAATAACGGGGGCAGAGATGGGATAGAATGAAAGAAGGCTGTTAAAATTCTAAAATTCTACAGGATAGGCTAATAGAACAGTCTAGTTGCAAAAGAACGAGGTAGAATGACTCCAAAGATGATTCAGAATTGGGCAGAGCTGTAAAGCAAAATTCCTCTCTAATTGTGAATCTGTGAAACTAGACAAGTTATCTGTCGGCCTGACCAAATTTCTTAATACCAAAATTTGTATTAGTTAACATTCTCTGGGAAAACAGAACAAATAATAGAGAAAGAGAGACAGGAGAGAGATTTTTAAAAACTGCCTTGCATGATTGTAAAAAGTGGCAAGTCTGAAATGTGCAGGGTAGGTCACTAGAGTGATGTTTTAGTCCAAATAAAAAAAAACAGTTTTCCTATACAGAGTAGATTATTAAAGCTTTCAACTGGACTGAGAGCAGTGACTCACCCCTGTAATCCCAGAACTTTGAGAGGCCAAGTCTGGCAGATCACTTGAGGTCAGCAGTTTGAGACCAGCCTGGCCCACATGGTGAAACCCCCTCTCTACCAAAAGTACAAAAAGTAGCCAGTTGTGGTGGGGCATGCCTGTTTTTCCAGCTACTCATGAGGCTTAGGCACAAGAATCATTTGGACTTGGGAGACTTTTAAGAGGTATTTATACAGGAATTGAATTACTAGTTGAATATGATATTGTTTAATTACTGAAAATGACCTTTTGCCAAATCGAAACCAGCCCAAATTTTTTCACAGAACTAATGTTTGTGGACTTTTTGTCTAAACATAGAAATTGTAGAGATCACATCAGTGCACTGCAGGCTGGGTGACAGAGCAAGACTCTATTTCAAAAAAAAAAAAAAACCTGCAAAAACTCCTCCAACTGATCCACATTATGTAGTGTAATCTATTCAAGGTCCAATTACTTACATATTAATCTCATCTCTGAAATATGTTCACTGAAAAATCTAGAATAATATTTGACCAAAATGAGTACTGTGGCCTAGCCAAGTTAACACATAAAATTAATCATCATACTAATCATACCCTGTAAGAACCAATCATTTATTGTATCATACATTATAAACAAGTTGTATGCTGTGTTATAATTTGCTGTTTCTATTATTATATCAGATAAAAATATTTAATCTGCATTTTTAGCCACTCACATTTCCCAAAGAAAATTAGTTTAAAATAATGACTGACAATTAGGTGATTTCCAAGGGCTATTTTACACATGAGTTACTAGTTGAGTAAGATATTGTTTAATTACTGAAAATAACTTCTAGCCAAACTGAAACCAGCCCAAACTTCCTCATAAAACTGATGTTTAGAGATTTTTGTATAAACATAGAAATTTACCCTCCCAATTTCAAAGCTTAAAACTTATACTTGTCTTACCTAAGTTCCTTTCTCAGGAAACTGAGCATCAGGCCTCTTAGATAGTGATTAAGAAACTGAAACTCACTAGATCACCACATAGAGACAAATATCACACTTCCTCACCTGTCACAACTGCCTAATCAACTACCTGCTTCCCATCGAACAACTCTTATTCCTTACCCCTTCTTAATTCTTGTATTTACACAGATAATTACATTCTTTTGACACTATACAAACCCCAACTTTAGTTAATTGAGGGAATAAATGTGAGATTTGGCTTCTGTCTCTCCAGCTGATGCTATCTGAATAAATCC